ATTTAAATAAAATAAACAAAAGTAGTTGAAAATTGTAATTAAAATGAAATGAGAAAAAAAAAAAGTTTTTACAAAATAAATTTTTATGTGAAAATGGGCTCTGATGGTCGTAGTTACCTGAGCCTTGAAAACAACAAATATTTATATACATATATATATATATATATATGTATATGTATATATAATATATATAATATATAATAATTCGTATATAAGTATATATATATATGTATATATATATATATATATATATATATGAAGATATTAATCATTTTTTGAGAGACTTCTTTATAAAATTAGTGAAAATTTTTGTTATAATAAATAACATTTTAGTTAAAAAATTGATAAAAAGAAAAAAAAAAAAAGAAAAGATAAGAAAAAAAGAATCTACCAATTGCTTCAAAATTTTGGCAATAACTACAAAAGAAGAGAAAAATTGAAATAAAAAGTTAGTAAATTTTTCTAGAATTTTTATTAAAAAAAAATTTTTTTCAAATACAATTGTTTTTTAATAATAATGATAATAATGAATTACTAAAAAGTAATATAATATAAAAATCTAGTGCGTTACCAAAAATTGATGACCTTTTCCTCTTTTTGAAAAAATATATACATATATATATATATATATATATATATATATTCTTTATTTTTTTTATTATATTTTAATTTTTATTTATTTTTTTTTTATTTTTACGTTTATCTTTTTGTTAATACATATCGTCCCAAATAAAAAAAAAGAGAGAAGGTCTTTAAAATTATTATATTTTTATAAAGCAAAACTATATATGAAAGAAATAATATATGTAGAAAATTACACTCCCAGTATAGAATCCTTTGCAAGTCATGCAATTTGTGTAAATAATTTTTCTGAATACAAAAGTAATGAAAATTCCTGTGTTTTGATTTGCTTTTTTTTTTTATTTTATTTTATTTTGTTTTATTTTATATACACATAGAAAAAATTTTATACTTTTTTTATAAAGAAATATCAAACTTAATACATATATATATATATATTGTACACATACGTGTGTGTTATAAATTATAAATGAGCAAAAATAGTTTTATTAAATAATTAAACTAAATTAAAAAAAAGTATCTGATGAAAATTATATTTAAAAATTTTTCAATGATTACGTAAATTTACAAATAAAATAAGACCTTTAGCAAAGAAGTCTTGCACTTGACAACTCTAGTGAAATTATATTAGCCTAGCTTCGTCTTGCCGTCTATTGAATTAAGTTTCTTATCATCATTATCAGTTTTTGAAATAACTGGTACAGTAATCTTTAGCAGCAGTTTTTAGGGCGATATCTATCGCAATGGTCCGGGCCTCCTTTCACCTTAGCTAGGGGTTACTTTGCGAATCTCACGATTTTGATTTCACTCTCAGTATACATTACAAGTTTAATAGCGCTATTCAATGCGGACTATCCATCCATCGCGTAATTTCAGAAAGAAGGAAATTTGTGCGAAATTATTGAGATGATAATTCCATCAATATGGTGGTGGTCGTCGATTCTTAATTAGTTATAGTAGAGTTATTATATTGCGGGTCATATCGTTGAGAAAGCCTCACACATTAATCTACAGCGCACTTCGTTTCAAATACTAAACTAAAACAAGGGAAAGTGTTCTCTCCTTTGTCAAAAAATGCTGCAATACAGTTAAAAAACTTCTTTCTTCGTTGCCTATCAATAAGTATTGATCGAGGTGGAGTGCATTAAGTGCATTTTATATGCAAAAGTGCAAGTTATAACCTCCTCCTCTCCTAAAAATATGTATGGGACATCTTTTGCTACCAAACCATGGCTGAAGAAGTTTCGCATCGTTGAATTCAACGATTCATTTTCGTACCTATTACTGACTATATTTAGTAACGTTGGTCCGCCTGGCCGCTCTTTTTTTATTGCTTTTTCAATTTAGAAATTCATAGAAAATTTGGAAGAAAATCTTGCGCTCATTCTTGGCTTGTGATGCAGCAGATAAGTTGTGAACATTGAGAATACCGTGACCTAAGAGATTCTCTTTACATTTGTACTTGAAGGGGGGGCAGGGGGGGGGGGGGCAACGGTTGCATGATTCCCATTTATTTCAATTATCTTTGAACATTTGCCAAGTTTTTCTAAATTTGAAATTTTCGCATTACATAACTCTTCGCCTTCTTCGCCTTGTTCATTTTTCTTTTAATATAGTAATAAAGCCTTAATAATTTGATATAGTAAGTAAGCCCTGAAGCTTCTTATATCTCTTTTAGGACATAGCAGCCGTATGCAATATTTTCTAAAATATGTTGCTTGATAGTTGATAATTTTTTCGAAAAATTGCAGACGTCAGATATGCACCTATATATGCGCTGGTCGAATCTGCACTCAA